AGAGCTTAGACCAACACTTTGTCAGCGGTGAGGTGGTCGGGTCAAGGATTTGATCCTTACAAGTGTTCTTGTCAGCAGATTATTATCTAGATTCTAGGATAAATATGTGATAAAGGGAGCTTTAAGAGATTTAATTAAATTTAGTTTAGTAGGCGTAGGCGACTGGCACCAGTTAAGGGCCATTGGTTGAACTTATTAATATGTAGTAACACCTTTTATATAACTGAATTCAAGAGCAAATAAATCCTTTGACTTTTGATCCCTTTTTAGCCCAATAGAAATTCCCGAGTGTACCGCGCGTTACCATCCGTGGGCGCCCCAAAGAGTCAATAGACCACTACCCCTATAAGGTAGATGTTCTATGCTGATGTTCAGCTGGGACAAGTACAATAAGTTACCGCGGCCTCGGCCTAGAACAGGAGCAGGAACGGTAGAGTTTTTAGTCAGTTAGGGTCTGACAGCCATCCCACCGTGAGCGGGAGAAGTCATTTGATGTTTTTTCCCTCACAAAAAAAGCCTAATAGAAATTGCGGCATATCACCTACCACACATCTCTGTACTGCCAAAGGGATGACTGGCAGAAAATGCTTCTACCATTAAGACCATATGCAATTATATATAAAGAGTAAATAAATAAAAATAATCTGTTAGATATTGGAAATTCCACGCGTCATGTTATTAACTTAGATATACATATTTTTCATCGTGACTTAGATTACTTTTCGATGTAGAACCGATTGAAATTCTTCACGTACGGTACATCGGGTTAGCGTGGACGGAGCCGCGGTGGAATGTAATACGTCAGTGAGCGCGGAGAGGCTGGCTGCCATCCGAGTCATGTAGTGACACACGTAGCAGAAAGCGTGACCGCATGTTACAATTAGCCATATCTCCTCGCCGAGGTGTCCACGTGCCATCTTGATAGCTGAGGTGAAATGCTATCGTTGGTATTGCACACAATAGACTTAGGGTGCGTTCAATGTTTGCGTTTTGATCGTAGATTTGTATATTTTTTGTAAGTGTTAATACTGTTGCGAACGTACTTTAAGGTTAAAAGGAATGTTTTGGTTTTAGTAATGGGAAACTTAAGGGAGACTTAAGAGACCTTTGATCAGCAATGGACATCTGTTCTGTGTAGTTTCTGATAGTTATGCTGATAATTAACGGAACTTGTAAACAATCTAATATCGATGTTTGGTAACAAAATTTTATGATTTAGATATTTTGATCTGTAAAACACAGTACAAAATTACACAAACAGGTATGTTAAAAAACCCATTAATATTCACTTTATGACTAGAATTGTCACGGAAACGGATCAAAATAAAAAAAGCCAGTATGTAGGTACAGTTGAAAAAAATCCAACCAAAAAGTATATATACCCGTATGAACAGTGTCTTACTGAAGTTGCAGTTAAAGTTTACCTTATCTGTGCACTTTGTTTACTGCGGTTCGCCGTTACGGAGTGGAGAGCGCCAAAACGATGAACACTATCGCCACTCCTATGTCACTTACTTTATCGCTCTTTATAACTCCAGCCTGCAGCTGTTCTCTTACTAAAAGATACTTAAAATGTATAAGATATAATTTGATCTACTATTTTTAATCTATGTCCATACATTTTTTTATTTTTAGGTGGCTCACGTCATTGGCGTATAAGGACCCATTGCTTAGCATAGCCATCTTCTCACACAGAGAAGGTTTGAGTATTAATAACCACGCTAAACGCTAAAACTAGACTTCTAATTTCTCATTATAATTTCTTATAATGAAAATTAGAAGTCTAGTTTTCCTTCACCGTATGTCAATGGTGTCTTTATAATTAGAGAAAGAACATATAACTCGGAAAATGTCACATCGGTAAACGCCAGGTTTCGAATCCGCACCCTAATGCATGCATACATGCGACAGAATTCGGTTATTCCTTGGAAGAAATCGAATGACGCATGTATTGTAGGTATAAACCACGACGCTAGCTATTTTAGGCGGCTATGATATCATAATTGATATGATAAAAAAACCGTTACGTTCCTAATTAGCTCGCGCTAACTTTGAAAAATATTTATCTCCACTTCTAGCCTTTCTTCGAGAACCCCGTAATGGGCAAAACATATATTTTGACATAGGCTGAATAGCAATGCTCTTTGATAAACCTGAACCTTTTAAATCTCAAAAACTCTTGCTATACGTGAATGATTGTACTTTTTTCTTTTATTTTGATGCCCTGATGATATGCTCAACATGAGATGCCATGAATGTCATGGGCTATGCTTTTTTATGTTATAGGATGGCAAGCGAGCAAATGGATTACCTGATGGCAAGTAATCAGCGCCGCCCATAGACCTCCGCAACTCCTCCTTTGCCGACCTTTTGAGAAAAAGGATTTGGGGATTGGCTGAGGGACAAGATTGGTACTCCAGTAACCTCACTAATACAGCGAAACACAATGCTGTAGTTGTTTTACGCCGGTTTCCTTTCATGCCGTGGTGTTAATCTGGTCGAGCCAACCCATTCGTGCCGAAGCACGGCTCATCCACTTGTGCCGATGTACGATCTTATTTAATTATTCAGAAGCAGAGAATTCAGTTCAGAGAGCATATCGTGATATCCTGTTATTACCTTCTGCTGTAGTTCCGGTCGGTTGGTGCGAGTTGCTCGATGGAGTGCATCATCAGTTTTTGCAACAACGTTAATTATTGCATGGTACGCTAGATCTTAGCTGGTACTGTTATGGGCGGGTCGCCAGCGTCTCAATGAGAGCGTGCGCGCCGCTTTTTATTGATCTGCTTATTCATCTCAGAGTTTAGATACTGTTTTGTTTTGCGTGTGTGTCCGTTGAAAAAGTGTAGGTGTGGCGCAGACGTCATTTTTTTGGCTTTTACAACTACGAATGTAAGCCGTCTATCATCTTTAGCTTCTAATTAGAGAGATGTCGTACATAGTTTTAGCTTGCGGAGTGTCTTGCTAGGTTAAAGGCCTTTAGATAAAGAATAAAACAATATTTTTTTGTTGTTCTATCCATAATTTCACCTTTGCACCTGTCACTAGATTATCTCTGCATCACCCAAAGGTAGACTGGTACAGAATGCTCATTGCATTTTGCATTGCTCATTAAGTCCGCCTATGTACAGTGTTTTGTGCATGAAGTCTCAAATAAATAAATAATTTCATTGTACAAAGTTAATTTTTGAAAACTTCTTAACTCAAGGTTGTAGTGTTTGAAAATCGACAAATTTTTAAGAGCTTAACGAAGATCACACTGTGACGATTGCCATAAAACCTCCATTCGCGACAAAAACATCATTTTCCAAGCCTTTCTACGAGCAAGTATGGATAGTACGGATACCTTTCAGCCTAACGATCTCAAGAATGCTAAGCAGCTACATTGTTATAGTGCGGAATGTGAACTGATTAGAAATTAGTTCAATCTGCGAGCAACCACGACACATAGGGTTTTCCGGCAGGAAATTCTTGAAGGCTATGTATGGAATATCTGTCTCTTTATCTGTATTGTTGTGTAAAGATAATCTCTACTATCTTGTCTAGTATTGATATGGGGAGGTTCATACACGAATCCTGTTGATATCTCTATCAGAAATGTTTAGAAAGTTTTGCTTGCTTATTCGGTGATATCAACTGATTGAGGTTGGCATTCTTTTCCACAATAACTTCATTGCGGGACAGCTATATATATTAATGTTCTGGAACTTCAGTCATTCGGTGTTTTTGTGGTTGTATCTGTTGTAGATCCTGGTTTAGATGAGTTGCATCGATTTTGATATGTTGTGGTGGGCTTGTCTCAATATATTATGACGTTGGCATTGTTTGCTTACTTTTGCTAGCAAAATTTGCCATAATCTTTTACGTAGGCACCTGCTCTTCATCGTACATATCAAGTATACCAATCAATTACAACTATATTTTTGACTATTTTCAAAGCTTGCACATCAAGTATAAAACCGTTGAAAAATATTTTCGTTTATTTGTTTTAAGTGAAAAACAGTTTGAATTGGAATACAAAAGCCCAATACTCATAATAATAACGAACTCTGAACAGAATTTACGACGCGCTAACCGTCTTGATAGTTGTTGAGTAAAAGCTCACATTCCTAGTGTTGTGCTGCGACAATGCGACTGTCATCGGTCGATATATTACACCCGCTACCGCTCGGCACGCGGCTAATATTTTATATGGGCGGTCTTCATTGCAATCGGGACCTGTTGATGTAGGGTCGTGGCACCGGCTATCTATCGATACTTACATTTTTGTTTTTACTGAGGACTTGTTGATTTTAATCTATAAATTAGGTGTATCATAATATTAAGTGAAATTGTATTTCCTTTTTTTTTTATTGTTAAACTTTAGATTTGATGTAGAACCCAATAGTTTCGGTTAGAGATACTTGCAGATTTTTATTATGTTTAGTAAATCTTACTAATATCATACTGAACTATTATAAATGAGAAAGTTTGTGATAATGGATGGATGTATGTTTATTATTCTTTCACGCATAAAAGGCTGGTCCGATTTTCTTGAAATTTGGTGTGTAGATAAATGAAACCCTGGATAAACTCAAATACTGCTTTTTATCAACATACCCGAGACACGAGCTGGTAGATTATAAAAAGAGGTTTACAACTTTAAACAGAGTTTGTCAGATTTGGTACTTAGATTACCATAGTTGATTTCAAATTACAGGATTCGACTATAGGCGAAAGAACATGAATATAATTAATACCTTCAGCGGGTTGCGAAGGGCGCATCGCTTCATGTACAGCATATAGACAATCAGGCACACACAATAAACTAAAAACTGAATTTCTTCATCCATGTGTCGTATAATTATACAGAAGTTATACGTGTAACATTTCGACTGAGGAAATGTCTAAAATTATAGTTAATAGTATCGATGTTTTTACATCCCAGCTCTAGTGGTCGAGTGAAAGAGGCGTGCACTGGTTGCTCTCATTAATCTTTCATTTCTACGTTATATTATTAGAGGAACGGGTTTGCACGGATGCTGCGGGGTCGCGGGGTGCGGTGCGGCAGGCGCGCGGGGGGCAGGGCGTGAACCCGAGTGAACCCTCGGTAGCACCTGCCGCGTCCGGTCGGCCCGGCTGCTCCACGCAACTCTAAGGTTGCCAGGGAAACATTCTCATCTTGTAAATTGACAGGATTCCTTCGTTATGATCTAGCATGTCAAGCCGCTTTTTAGTTTTACACTTCCTGGAAGTGGGAAATTGTTGGAAGAATGTTATGTTGTTATGATTTCATTCAACCGCTTTGCAGTGGTTGGTCGTTTTCAGCGTCAATTTATGGCGCCTTCTCTATTGATATTTGAATTTTACTACCACTACGCGGGTTTTAGGGTTGTGAAATGCATTTTTATTTGTTTATTGTACTTTTTCAGTTTGAAGCTCTGACTATTTTTGAGCTCAGAGCGAAAACATGCCATAAATCTTTTGAAAACTGTGCCCAAAGTGTACCTATTTATTTAATTAAACCCGTTACCTACAAAGACAGTCAATGACAGACAGAATAATGAACTCGGTCTCTATATATAATTGCATGTTTGATTTATCTGTTTGTCATTAGATCTGGAGCGGGGGCATTGCGTAATGAATATTTGATACACATTACAGGGAAGCTGAAGATCAATTTAATGAGAGGTTTGTGGACACGGGAGTGGTAGTGGTCTTCTTTGAAATATATCATTAAGTACGTCTCATTTTTCCCAAAGAGGAAATCAGGACGTTTCCTTGTAAGTGTATTCGTTGATTTGTTCAGGAAAACCAGTTATATGTACATACGTACTAAGTATTGGTAGTCTCTCTGTATTTACTTAGAACTACAAATCTACTTTAATCGTAACTGTCCAATTATTCATTAAAACCTTATTTTGGTAGACCAAAAAAAAACTGGTCACCATATCTGCAAAAAAATTCTACGGCACAAGAACGAGCGCTTATCTAATAGGTAACTCTATTATTAAATTCTTTACCAACTGAACAAATAATGTCATAACCAAATAAAAAACTATAAAATTTAAATTAAGAACATATTTCTTAGCAAATATGTAACAGAACACTACCGAGTACATTTTAAGTACACGCTGCGGATTATTTTCTAAGTACCCGCTACTTATAAAATATTCGGCAGTGTGTTGATTGATTGTTTTGTTATAAAATTGTGTAGTATTAAGTTTATGTGTAATTATTGTGTGGGACGAATAAAATAGTGTAGTAGCACACACAGACCCGAGAGGTTTCAGTGATGCTGAATCAGTTTAAAACATGTTAAATACTATTTTTGATAATTGAATAATAAAAAAAAAACTATATAAAATATCAATAACTTTTTTATAAGAGAGAGGTTTTATCAGAGAAATTCACACCAGCAAGACCGGAGGTGTTGGACATGTGCATTACCGGCCTTTTGGGGGTTTGACGAATTGGGCCTCCGGGGATTTCACATTCGTTTTTTCACGAACATTTTCAGGTGTTACTACGGTCTGCAGCTCCATTCATACCTAAGCATGACTTTTTAAAAACTAAAGCATATTACCACTTATCATTCTACGTAAAAACATCCCTGTTCCCGACATTTTTTTTCTCGCCAACCCTGGAGTAACTTGAAAGATTGTAAAAGTTGGTTTTAATCGCTGTCACAATATGTAATCGTATTGAGAGATACCGTGTGAGGTGCATGGCCCCTTATTTCGGCTGTCCGACGATACAGTATTAAGCTCCGGATTATAACCACTCCCTGACAGCTCGATTGAGATACATTTTATTATTATTTATTCTGTTATATGTTTGACTCATGTTTGTGATCAGAATTTATAAGTATTTAATAATATTGTTTTAGCGGTTTGCACTTATACATATTTTGTACATACATGTATATCATGGTTATGTTTAAAAAAAGCGTTTATTTTTCATACTAATGAGCCTAGTGTATCAGACACTGTTTTTTGAAAACTTTGCCGTAAATTAGAATGTTCTCATGTTTCGTGGATGCGTTTAAAAAACATACATATCTCACTCAAAACAATTTGTCAATCGCACAAAGAGTAGTTTTGTGCCAAAATCGAACCTGCGGCAGCATGCACGACAGACAGTTGCCTAGCTACTGCGTCAATTGGGCACCCAACACTTTTACAATCACTGAAGTAAAATGAATATAAATAACATAGTCAGGGCCTGCTTCGCTATGTCTGTCTTTTTATAAGACAAATTTGAATATAGTACCAAAATCGCATAAACAATATATTACGAAGTTTACCGGGGACATTTTGAGTTTCTTAGAAGTTAAGAATGTACTTACCTAATATTTTTCAGGTCATTAAATAACTACATTAAGACAGAATTAATTATATTGAACATTGTTAAACCCGGATATTTAAATAGAACAAGTAGTAATGGTATTGTGTTGATTTCCTATGATTAGGAGGTGCTCGGTAAATTCTCAAGGTAATGCCTAAGGCTACACCTCGTTGGAAGTGTTGGCGTGGAAATGCTGCCTTATTTTGACCTCTATTGTATTTAGTATTCTGAAGATATTAATAAATCCTTCATTTATTTTGATTATTATTGTATTTCCTTTATTTATGTTTAACTGTAATGTTTGGTGGTTGTGTATACGACTGAGAATAGCTCGGACTCGTGTATAATTCCCATTAAAAAAAGGTGACACTTAGATTCCTAATTCGTTAGGTTTTAAACAGACTTACTATCAGGCGAAAGTCGCTCAAATATGGATCAGTTTAATTAAAACATTGTTCTACATTAGGACTTTCTTCTGTGTCGTGGATGCAGTTCATCATCATCATCATCATCAGCCTATAAGTGCTCACTGCTGAGCAAAGGCCTCTTCTCATACGGAGAAGGTTTGAGCATTAATCACTACGGTTGCTCAATGCCGGTTGGCGATTCCAAACTTATAATTAGAAATTATAAGTCAAGGTTTCCTCATAATGCTTACCTTCACCGTATGTCAGTGGTGTATAAATAATCATAAAAAGTACATATAACTCGGAAAAAGTCACATTGGTACTTGCCAGGTTTCGAACCCACACCCTTATGCATGAGAAGCGGGCTTTTTTAACCAAACTACTTTATACTATGCCTTAACCTCCTGGCCACCACGACATTTTCGCATTGCACGACATTTTTGCATTGTGGATGCATTTACAAGTAAAAATTCACATTCACATGACACCTAGATCCGGAACGACAATTTGGAGTTGCTCCCTGCGGGAATCAACCCGCAGCACGCGCATGCGGGAATAATTCCCTACATACCGGTAAAGCTTTTAATCCCTCTAAACTCTTGATGCTGATTTCGGTCGCAAAAGTTATTCAACAAATTATTTGGTAAAAATGTGTCACTTATATGACGTTATAAACAAGGCTATAGTTATATAAGAGTACGTTGTTATAAGGTTACATAATTCCTTTGTGTGAGTTCTATTAAAAGATCTGCTTGTTTTTTTTATCAACGCCGTCAACATTTTGTTGTTGTTGATAAATGTGTTATGTCAAATAACAATAGAGTCTATTTTTAAATGTCGGGCTACTAGATAGATTGTCTTGTTGATCTAGTTTTAAGTTATTATAAGGAATCATTTAAGGAGTCGCGGTGCGTTGCGCGGCGAGTTGTACAGTCCGCTATACATTGCGTATAATGTTTGTTTTTGCGCGGGTGAAGACGCAATCTGCTGCTGCAATGTACATTGTACAAACGACAAACGTATTACAACATGTCGCGTGACTTTTATTGTGATTCTTATATTATACAGGGTGGCATTTTGTACGAGGGGCATATCAAAGACCCGTTTCTGGTGCTTAATAAAAATAAATCAATTTTTCCATAAGACGAATAATATGGAAATCTCATAAATAATATTTACTACTCTATGTAAAATGATCAAACGACTGTTTAAATTTGTATGGGGAAATAAATTTATTTTTGAATTAATTATTGGATGTTGGTCCCAAGGTAAATGTTGTTGTAATTGAGCACCAAAATAATATGTCCCTCGTTCAAAATGCTAGTCTGTATATTTATATTTATTATTGTTTATTCAGTTTAGAATACGGTTATTCTAAACTGAATAAACACTAAAATAGAAATGAGTTAATCACTAAGTTTAATCTTAATAACATTAATGTGACGTAGAAATTATTTTAGACATAAAAGGCCACTAGCAAAGTGTATAGTTAAGTAAGTTAAGTATAAAGTAAGTCATAATTAAATATTTCTCATTCCAGGTGATGGAAGCACCAATAAGGATCGAGAAATAGTTCAAAGTGGTTGTGATTTAATAAACATAAAGTCCATGAATAGCAACTCTGTTGATTAACTTCGTGTGTGCTGTTTTCTGAACGTCGGCTAGTGCGAAATCGTTAACCAATGGTCACCATAATTCAAGTGCTATCCGGTAAGGGTGACCACGATGTAAAACAGTTCCATTTTACATTTTTTTTAATGTATTGGCCGCCTATCAGCGCCGCCCATGGACAACCGCAACAACAAAAGTGTTACGAGCCGACCTTTTGGGGATTAGGGATTTAGAGATTTAGGGATTAGGGAGGAATAAGGCGAGGGACAAGGATCAGATTCATGAAATATTTTTTAATAACAAGTCATTTCAAGTTTATTTTTAACTTCGGCAATGAGCTCTTAGTAAGCGATATGTAGAAACTACATATGTATGATCATAATTTTCTAACTTTTTTTTTGGGATTTTAGTTTGTGTGACGTATAGATGGCGCTGTTATTAATGGAATAAGTGCTTTGTAGTCGATAAGTAGAGATAGTTTAACTTAATAAGACAAAGTTCGCACAAAATATTAAACAAAAAGTCTATTGGAGCTTGTAAATCATGGTCGTTCTAGCAGTATCGTAAGTGTTGAAGCCCTCTCCAATTATTAAGTGTGATGATAATTGAATATATGCGTTATAGAACCGGCAGGTTGCGGGCTGGCCTCACTATGAATACGCCTACCCATTTGCACTCTTTATAGAGTATGCAAAATCGATAGACGGAATCAATTAATTTAATAAATATTTTGTTACTGTTCTTAGAATTGAGAATTGTGGTCGTATATTAATGGGCGTATGTGTAGTGTAGT